GTTCCCATCTTTCTCCTTTCAGGCTAGTGCTTCCACACAGCTGATTCAGGATCATTGACCCAAGCAGGTTCTTCTTTTGTTTCAGCATTTTTAGGATAAAAAGGAAGGTGGCTGAGCATTTTGTTGGTTTCTTCACAGAGCAGCAGCAATTTCTGCTTGCATCRGTCTCCCTCGCAGGATTCCTCTACMGGCTGGTGTGGCAGAGCAGTTTAACGCAGRACAACCAGAAACAACACATGGTGAAGCACTGACCCATAATGCAATTAGCAGCCTTCCCCAGAAGCAGTTTTCAATACCCCAGGGCACTCAAAATTTGCTGACTGCTTGATTTGTGCTGCCCCAAATTCCTGACATTGCCCAAGCAAACCACAGGRCCAGGAACTAAGTGATCCCATCTTCCGATGCTTTTCATAAGGCTACCACCTTTGTTTTCTTAGAGAAAAAAAATCCATTTCTTTCCCACCTCTGCCGTCCTGATCAGAGGAACACAAGTTTAAATCTCAGCTCCCAAAGGAGTGGGATTTGTTAATTTGACAATACTCAATCCAAAGGCTCCAGGATGAGCACACACACTTTATGCCATTTACAGTGATTCAGTTAGCTGCCATCTAAGGAATTCTGAAAATTTGCTGGGCGTGAACACACTGGCTCACAGAGATTTGTTGTTCTTAATCCAGATGTGACCCTGGCAAGGAGAGATGTGCAAAAAAACTCCCCGCCACCTAGCCCAGCCAAGGTGAAGGGCACTGCTCATCCAGCACTGCGCTGGACGACAACCTGCATCCATCACCTGAGAGAAGATAAATTCTGCTGTCACCCAGGCTCCTGAGCTCCATCCATCATTGCTTAGCCAGGTTGGCTTTTCTTTGTTTGTTTGGAGTTGTTTTTGTTAAAAAAAAAACCCAAACAACAAACCAAAACAGAAGTGGGTATTAAAACTCACCTACCAAACCACCTGACAGTGAGAACTATCAGACATGGTACACCAAAGAARCCCTCTCATTTGATCCTGACAGAGCCCTGGGAATAGGTTTGATCTTTCCCAATAAATAAACGCATCCCAAAAATATCCTCTACCCTACACAGCCCCTCTGAGCCCACAGGGAGGTTCTGCAGCACAAAGACACCTCCACACTGAGCCCAGATCGAAAGCCATCACCTCCCTGCTCCCCTGCCTTCAGTTTTACTGCCTGGGGGACAACTRTGTCCAATTTCCAGAAGATTCTGCCTCGGATATTACCCAGCTAGGGAGACAGAACTCAAAGCAACTATAAACACATTTCGGAATTGATGGAAGGCGGTGTAATTTTATCATGACTTGGAACTGATCTGAAAATAGCATTCCCTATGTCTGGGAAKCAAAGTGCTTTAATAAAAGTCCTGGAGCAGGGAACACGTCTTCTCTGTGTGAAAGGCTGTGGCAGTAGATAGCACTCATTGCTTTATCARATATTACTGCTTGGCTGTCTGTGGGAAACAGGCACAGACTCATTTGTCACAGTCCYGTTCTCCCTGAGTCACAAAGCTCTGACTGAAAGACTCCCTGAGTTCAGGGGCTTTTTCCTGTTTCCAACCACACTCCCAGTTCCGGGTCAGTCTGTAATGTTTAAYAGATCTGCTGCATCAGCTGCAGCRCAGACACGGGGTTATCTCCAGCCAGCCTCCCAACAAGGAGAAGAGAGGTTTGTGGGAATACCTGGAGTGTGACAGGTCCTGCACAGACAGCTTGAGCTGTTTGGACAAGCACTGCCCTGAAACTAGAGCCAGTTGTGCCTCTTGCTTGGTTTACAGATTCTCTTTGCTTTGCTGTGCATGGGTAGGTCTGTCCTGCAAAGTCTGCATAACATCCTGTTCACATCCATCACCTGATCTTTATGGGTGTTGTTTGCCCTTTGACTGGCCTTTAGACCAATGTGGTGGGACTATGCAGTGAAATAATGACATTTTAGAGAATTTGAACAGCTACACCGTCCATGCCAAACACCCGTTAGTGCCCTATTCCTCCTTGTCCTACTGACTKGGGCCCAGCATGATTTGCTGTTTGCCTCACCAAGCTACAGCTCCTCTCCAAAGAACACACAGGCACTGTGCTCTATGCAGGCATTTACTRAGCACAGGAAGGGCTTGACTTGGTTATTGTGGATTAAAGCAGAATTCGGCGTATGAAAGCAGGTCCTRTGCTTTGCATGCACAGCTGGGGGATGTAAAGAAAAATATGGTACCAGCCTTGGCCCACATACTAAAACGGAGCTGGAAGAGGAGTAGGGAAGGAGCAAAATGCAACCAGCATACAGTCTCCTGTGTCTTCCCCAGTTTGGTACCAATCTGGACCAGACCTGCATCAGCAAGAGCAGATTAACCCCTGGGCTGGGACTGGAACCCTCACCGAGCTGCTACACCAAAAAAAGGCTGAGCCTTACCCAGATCTCTTCAGCCTACCCCACTTACCGACACTACTATTAACATCTTCTTCACRGAAAAGTTCTTCACCAGTACCTCTCCTCTAACTCACTGTATTWTTTCCTGCCTAGTATCAGCAAGCTCTGGAAGAGGTTCTGTTCTCAGATGTCTGTGCACTGTCTTTGACCTTATCACACAARTCAGTTGCCCAAGTTCAAGAGTGGGACACTTAAAGATTTTACTCACCATTAAAGTCTCACCAGAGGAGAGGCGTGGGGACTGCTAGGCTTCCCAGAGGCTTTATTGTCTCATTAATCTCTCCTTAATGAGAATTTCCTCACATGCTGCAGTATCCCGCCCATTTATTTGCATTCACTATCCTGGTGCTGGTAGCTTTGAGGCTGTTATAGCTCCCACTCTTTCCTCTTTCCTTTTAACTATTCTGAGGCCAGTTTTTATCTCCATRCTGTCATCCAGGTCCCAGAGAGAAAATCCTTTCTCCTCTTGAGTTACCWCTTGCCATGTCCTCCTTGGCTAGTTTCCTCCCTGACATCTCTGCAGCTTCTCCCAGCTCCAGAGTCACCTGCAATAATCTCCTCCAAAGCAAGGCAGCAACAACTGCTCATGATGAGATCTCTGACTTAAATGCTTGCTAAAACCTTGCTTATTCTCTGAGCTAAGGCTCCCCAAGCACAGCCTGGACTGCACACACCTCAGTGCCTGAGCCCCACACGCCGCAGTGGCTCTGCCCATCCCAGCCCGCTGTTTGTAGGAGCGGGGCTGTCGGATCGGCCCCTCCGCAGGACCAATGAGRGCCTCACACCAGCGGGGCAGAGGGTTCAGCACCTTTCTCAATGACTGCAAATACTGAGGGGTTCAGGCTGTTCCACCCATCCARCGGCATCTGAAAGAGCCTTGACAGCAAAGCTGCGTCAGAAGGGGCCACAGCTGCCAAAGCAGCCGTTCAGCCTCATTGGATTGCCTGTTGGAAAGTATTTCCCCCCTTTTTCTCATTCAAGCTTTTTTAGATAAGCATATGGCAAATGAAAATATCAAAGTGAATGATCTCCTGGTTGGGAATGAGGGACTATCACAATTATCCCTGTGATAATGAGATAGTCTGAACATGAGGGAACTCAATACAATGGGAGATTTATCTTGGAACCAGTCCCTTGGCAGCCTAGCCTGTGTTGCTGTCAGCACCATTTCCCATTGCACAAGGGCAGGGATCAGACCCAGGATTACATATCCATCTCTATCTCAAGCACATCCTGCTCTGTAGGTTASTTACCCACCATTTTCCCAGTGGTAATTTCTTAGATCWCCCAGACACTATGCTTCACTTAAATCACATTGTCCCATGGGAATCTGTACCCACAGATCATTTGGATCTCCAAATGACCCAGAAATTGCTTTCTTTCCTGCCACAAACCAGGTCAATACTTCAAATACTGACCTTCAAAGCTCCCAGGGTGAGGAGAGAGGCAAGACAGGAGTCTGAGGCCTTGCTCCAACACTCACAGAGACTCTTGTCACAAGGAATTATGTGGACTGTGCAAACAGATAAGGAAAACCAGAAAGAGCAAACGTGGATCTGCACAACCTTGACACGGCAATCGATGTTGTAGTTTACCACCAGGAGCAAGTAAATAGCTCCAGAGTTACGTGCTGCATAGCAAACATTGCASTTTTATCTGGATGACAGGCAGCAATTTGTGGCAAAGGTTAAATCTCTCTGTTCACTCAAGCTTGACATATGATGGTCGTGTTACATTCCCTGTTCTCAGAGGGTTTGTGCATGAATTTAAGGTTAAGTGCATGTGTGCCTTTAGGATCACAACCTTCATTCAATATTGCATGGCCCAGCAGGCCCATAATTAATCCCCAACATGTTCAAGTGACAGCTCTCACTCGTAACATCATCCATGCAGAACAGTGAGGAATGTGTAAATTCCTGCGTTCCAGCTGAGAGTCAGAGATTTTCCAGCCACCGGAGCAGGGAGGCTCCAAGGCAGGTTTCTGACAGGATGAACAGGGCAATTGGTAGGTTGGACTATTTTACAGGTAAATGAGGTAGGGCAGGAGAGGGAAGTATGATACAGTCACTGCTCATTCAGCTGCTAAGGATGGGCTGGGAGTGACAACACTTCAGTGCTGTTATTCCCTGTTACATGACCAACGTTTTCTACTCACAAAATTGTAAGAGTTCCAGAGGTTTACAAAGCCTGTAAGAAAGCCCCCACCATCTTCATCCTGGACAGTATGTAAACATGAAACTTGACGAGACTCAGCTCAACCACTTGCTYTTCTTTCTCCTCCTAATCACTCGTTGTCAAATGTTCCCAAAGATCTGAAACCCAACAATAAACTATAACCATGGCCTGGCAATCTGATTCACGTGCCCCAGGCAAGTCCTCACACCCAGGTCATGTCCTGTCAGCCTCACTCATAGAGCTGCTGCTAATACCAGTGGTTTGTTTCCAAATTCTAGGTATTTAATCTTTTTATCTACTTGTTCTATTACCAAAGATGAACCTGCTCAGTCAGGATGGATCAAGTGTTCTATCCCACAGGCARCACAACAGGCTGGGTATGTTTTACAGAAGTTTATTGGGGGTTAATATTCATTCACCAACAGCACARAGTATCAGATCTTTGCTATTGAAGGGCTGGAAACATGTAAAACACAGAGACAAGCATTGCTCAGAAATAGTTATGCTGTACATCAAATCTGAAAAACACCAGCACGACCACTGATTTCTCTTGCCTGAGGAAAGAGGAATGTCTTACCACTCTACTCCCTACAAAAATACATACAGCCATTGCATGTAACCCTCTTTCTATAAAAGATGCATAAATAAGAGTCAAAAGGCAAAAGGAGTAAAATGCTGCTACTTTRACCCACCTTGCTGCAGCTCCAGAGTTCTTCCATTCCCATTGTGTGTTAAATCATAACATATTTGAGATACCTCCAAAACACGAAATCACACATTGTTAGCATGCGCAGCCCTTTGCAGTCCCCAGTCCCATGATTTGAACTGTGAACATGAGGGAAATTGCAAAGAAAAGAACGACCCCTTCCACACCAGCACCTGCTCAGACCCTCGGGACCTCCACTTCCGAAGCAGACCTGGATTTGCGCCGGCTGGTCAGGCTGCCCAGGACTGACTCCTCGCTGAAGGCCCCTTCAAAGGTCGACAGGATGGACTGGCGAAACTTCTCCTTGAAATCCGGCCCCACAAAGACATACAGGATAGGGTTGATGCAGCTGTTGAAGAAAGCAAGGCTGGAAACCAAGGGGATTCCTATGTAAAGGGCCAGTTTCATCTCATGGCTKGAAGAGTTTTTGGATATTTCTAGCAAGGAGAAGACGTGATAGGGGAAATAACAGAGGAAAAAYGAGACTGTGACAGCAATGATGATTCTGTAGGGCTTTGCAGAGTTGGCCAACTGCCTTCTTTTCAGCTTGACAGCGACAACGCTGTAGCAGATAAGAATCACCATGAAAGGGATGAGGAATCCACACAGAAATCGTGTGATGATCATCACTTTGTGCCGCATCCTCCATAGCCTCCGCGTTGCCTCGGATGTGTAGTCATCGGACAGTGCAAAATTATTGTAACAGCTGGTGACATTCCTGGAATTGACCACAGTGTCCCGAAAGATGAGGTATGGGGAGCTGAGCAGGAGAGCCAGGACCCACGTCCCCAGTGCGATCCTGGCCGCCAGCTCTGGGCTTCTGTGGTTGTGAGACCAGACAGGAAAGGCCACGGAAACRCAGCGGTCGATGCTGATGACCGTCAGGAGGAACACACTGGCAAACATGTTGAGGAAAGCGATGGTGCTGTTCAGCTTGCACAGGAGCTTCCCAAATGGCCAGTGAAAGCCCAGAGCGGTGTAGACAATGCTGAGGGGCAGGAAAAAGGTAAAGATGAAGTCAGCAATGGCCAGGTTGAGGAACCATACRGAATTCACAGTTTTCTTCATCTTGAAGCCTGCTATCCAGATGACGAGGCCGTTCCCTGTCACCCCCAGCAAACAGGCGATGCTGTACACTACCATGGACAGGATGTGCATGGTCTTCTGGAGGCCAGAGTAGTASTCATGGTCAGTGGCGTTCTCAGGCTGCTCCGTGGGGCAGCTGGCAGAGAAGGGGGAAGGGGAAGAAGTGCTATCCATTACTAGCAAGCCAAGAGCTGAAATGACAAAACAAAGCTGTTATCTGTGGCTCCAACAGCTCAAGAGAGGTGAAAATCTTTGTGAGCAAGTGTGCATAAAATGTGTATAAAAAAGCCAAATTAAATAAATTAATTTATAATTAATATAAAGTCCTTCTCTACAGTGTACAGCTGCACCTCGCAGAAACYACCTCAACCTGAGAAACCAACCCCAGTTTTGCTGTTGGTGTTGTCAGACCATCTCCATCCAATGACCCACAGCAGCAATCCAGCATGGGCCAGCAGCAGAACCATGGAAACACAGATTCCCCCCACTGTGACAATCTTCTTTGGATTACCATTGATAAATTATGACAGCAAAAACTATTTAGACTGGTAAYGATTGTTTATGTTAACGGACGTTTCTTCACCAGGATTTTTCCAGGGAAGCGYGCTCTAAGAGCAGAACAACACCCAAGCTCATATCCAAGTGTAACCATTGGCCATTTACCCACCCACCACCCTCTGATGAGACCACCCTTCTCAWCTCTCTCCCGCTGATCCTGGCATTTGCCTTGGTAGGTCCCAGCAGGACTCACCGTGGTGCTCCTTGGCTGCTCTGCCCACAGCAGGTGGTCTCGCCTCCTGGCTGACTCCCCTTCTGCTGGCCCTCTCCAGGGTGACTCATAGTGCCTCGCCTCATTTTCCCATGGCTTGGGATCACGAGAAATTCAGTAGGATCACTTATTCCCTGATCTCCTTCCTCAATTTGTAGTGTGTCGATTTAACCCCTGAAGCCCCGAAGGGTTCCCTCACGCCAGTTGGTCAAGCCCACCCACTAACTCAGACTTGAAGAATGAAGAAAACACGGCCCCTCTCCTGCCTGCACCACTCATCCCAAGGCAGCTCTTCCTCCCGAGCACCTGGAAATCCCTCCAGGCACCCCTGTGAAGGGGACAGGGCCATCTCTGCACCCCACAACAGCAGCACCGTGCCCAACCTGTGCCACGGCCTGGCACTCCAGCTTTCCTGGAGACACGGTCTTGGCTGGGAGATCTTGGGGGTGCCTGGAAGTGCTCCCTGCCCGGTACAGGGTGTGGGGGAGTCCCATCCTTTGGGTCACGGGGAAAGTCGCGGGACACTGGGAACATCCCAGGGCTGGGGACAGACACCTGGGGGTGCACGGCAGGCAGGGCTGGAGCTGTGAGTGACAGCAGAGGAGGGATGGCGACACAGGGGTGACAGCCCGGGCCCCCCGCCCCTCCCGGCCCGGCCAAGGTCACCCGCGCTCCGGCCGCCACGTGCGGACCGCGCCGCCAGCCCCGCCCCGGCGCGGGCCAATGGGAGGCGGGGAGGGGGCAGAGCGCGGCGCTGATTGGTCCAGGCGCTTCCCGAGCGTATTCCCCGCCGCCGGAGCCGGGGCGGAGCGCGGCGCTGATTGGTCCCGCTGCCGAGGGGCGGGGCCAGCACGGTCTATGGTAGCGCGCGGGTTCCCGCGCGGTAGCGGAATCAGGATCAGGTAAGGATCGTGCGGGACCGGGATCGGGATCGGGATCGGGATCCCCTGCGGGTGAGAGCGGGCAGGCAACGCCGGTCCCCGCTGCCCGGGTCACGGCAGAGGGGGCGCATCCCCGGGAGCCTCTGGGGATGTGGGAGGTGATGGAGTCGGGATACAGGGGGTGCAGAAATAGGTGGGGATGGAGCTTTAGGGCTGAGATTTGCTGAGGCTGGACTGGTGTCCATCATGAGAGGGGACACGGGGATGGTCTCATCCTGACTGGGAATGGGAGCTCTACTTCCACTGTGCCAAAAGCAGTGAGAGTGAGTGCTGCTGTATTCTGTGCTGGGGAGACATGCAGGACCCAAGCATGCTGCTCAGARCCAGAGCACTTCCTCTCACAGCCCTTTGTCCAGCCCAAGCCTTCTGGTAGTAAGGATTCCCACCCTGCCAGTGAGGGGTGGCATAACCTAGAGCATGACCAAAGATCCCGGCTCAGCAAGAGCAGCATGAATGGACTTTGGCAGCTTGACACTTGGAAACCGTGTGGGATTACTTAATAACCTGCTCACAGCCCTTCGCCTGTCCTTGCAGGGTTAATGAGTAAAAAGATGCATTGTCTTCTGCCAAGGCAGCAGCTGGGCTGTTATTCCTTCCCCAAGAGCAGCAATGGCATGGACTGGGCCAGAGGGCTCCTGGCAGGCCTGGCTGTCACCCATGCCATGGAGCCAAGCACAGGCAGAGCTGCTGCCTCTCGGGGCCTCTCAGCTCCACAAGATGCTTCAGTCAGGGCTCAGGGCAGGACTCTGACCTGCTGGGGGCTTGCCCAAGGGAAAGCAGCCAAGAGGTTTAAGCGTGCTGGGCATCACAACGTGCATTAGAATTGAGGTCTGTGAGTATGAGCACTTCACTGCCCTTAATATTAAACATCAGGCAGTGCCAAACTGGGCAGGGGGAGCTCAGAGAGGAGTGGTGATGGGAGAGTATCGGAAATTATCAGAACACTGTAATTAACAAACTGATCTTAAATCAGCAGGGGAAGCCTGACAGTTGTGTGTGTTTTCYTCATGGCTGGTCCCTTTGTGTTCTCAGGGAATATTCGGGATGGCGGGCAGCACACAGGGAGGTATGGAAGCACCAGCTTTGCTGCCATCCCACAGACTCCTCTCTTTCCTGGCAGGTGACTTGGAGCCAGCAGCAGCACCATGGCGAACTCAACACAGAGCCTCCCCAGCGCCGAGCTCTGGGCCTCCCATAACAAGATGGTGCTGGAGCCGCTTGAAACCAATGACCCAGAGGTGAGAGCCCCTTCCTGGCTCCTGCCCAGCGGCTTTGTCCATCACCCAGCCAGCCATGGGGATGCTGACCTCCTCAAGCCAGGGACATGGTAGGGCCCAAGGCTGAACTGCTGGAACCCATCCATCTTCTGGGCCCTCTCTGTGGCTGGCTGGGATCAGCTGTACCAAGAAGGGATCTTGTCTCCCTTCTCCAGCTCCTTTSCAGGCCCCTCTCCAAGCCCCATCCCCTCTTAGGGTGCATACCCTACGGTGGACCATCCACACCTCCATGCAGAGCTGGCATGGCTGAAGCTGTTTCTCTCCTCTCCCAAAGGTGCACAGCATCATCAAGAAGGAAAAGCAGCGGCAGAAGCTGGGACTGGAGTTAATTGCATCTGAGAACTTTGCGAGCCGAGCGGTCCTGGAGGCCCTGGGATCCTGCATGAACAACAAATACTCTGAGGGTTACCCAGGACAGAGGTACGGGGCTGGGGCAGAGTCCCACCAACCCAAACCCTCGCAGGGTGGGAGAGGAACCACTCATCCTGGCAGGCCTCACCTYTGGGAAGGAAATGATGTCCTTATGCTGGCAGCCAAGCTCTTCCAGGCCAGGATCCGGCTTTCTCAGCTTCTGTCCTTGGGCACATATGGGACAGGATGGGCTCCTCAGCAGGGTCACATCTGCTGTGGCTRCTACAAACACAGCATCACCCCAGGTTCTCCCCAGCTTGGTCACAGGGACTATTCTGACTAATGAGTTTGGTTTTACCTCCTGCCCTRTCCTTTATGCAGGTACTACGGTGGGACAGAGTTTGTGGATGAGCTGGAAAGGCTGTGCCAGAAGCGAGCCCTGCAGGCCTACCGGCTYGACCCCCAGAAGTGGGGTGTCAACGTCCAGCCCTACTCAGGTATTGGGGTGCTCAGGAGGGTCAGGACAGTTGCCCAGGCCTCTGTGTGCCCCAGCATKCATAACCAGCCCAGTGCACTCTCGCTGCAGGGTCTCCCGCAAACTTTGCGGTGTACACRGCCCTGGTGGAACCCCACGGCAGGATTATGGGGCTGGACCTGCCTGATGGTGGCCACCTCACCCACGGGTTCATGACAGACAAGAAGAAGATCTCTGCCACCTCTGTCTTCTTTGAGTCCATGCCCTACAAGGTACAGAGAGCTGCTCCAGCCAGAGCCAGGACACAGTTATCCTAAGTGCTGGTGCTCCTAAAGTTAAAAGCACCAGCATCAGGCTCCCAGCACCCACTCCTGCAGGACAGCACTACAGCTGGTCTTCACCACAGCAAGGTGGCTAAACCCTCCTCTTSCTCTCCCAGGTCAACCCCAAGACCGGTTACATCGACTATGACCAGCTGGAGGCRAACGCCCGGCTCTTCCACCCCAAGCTGATCATAGCAGGTAAGGATCACAGCTGTACTGACCTTGGGTGGGGTGGCTCCCTGAAGCCAGCAGCACCCCTGTAAACCCACACAGTGCTAGGAGGAAACCTCCAATGCAACCACCCTGGAAGGAGCTCGTGTGCTGTTCCCAGCTGGGTCTGCACTGCAAGCCTGGTCCTGGGGCTGTCCCAGGGTCCTGGTGGATCTGTTCCTGTCCCCTCCTGATCGCCTCTCCCCACAGGTGTCAGCTGCTACTCACGGAACCTGGACTACGCCCGCATGCGCAAGATYGCTGATGACAATGGGGCCTATCTGATGGCTGACATGGCCCACATCAGCGGGCTGGTGGCTGCTGGTGTGGTGCCCTCGCCCTTCGACTACTGCGACATCGTCTCCACCACCACCCACAAGACCCTGCGGGGCTGCAGGGCCGGGATGATCTTCTACCGCAAAGGTGCCTGACCTGGCTGGGGTGCCGGGAGAAATGCTGCAAGTCAACTTTCCTTCATGCTCTAACTGRGAAGGAGGGAATGCAGAAAGATCCTGGGAGCATCTGGGGAGCATCTGGCTAACCCTGCCTAAAATTTAAAGAGGAACAACCACYATCCCTGCTCTGAGCAGCAGCGGGGTGAAAGCAGTTCATGGGAGAATGGTGGCTGTGCTGCCTCGTGACCATGTGGTCCCTCTCCTGCAGGCACCCGCAGTGTGGACCCCAAGACAGGAAAGGAGACTGTCTACAACCTGGAGAGCCTCATCAACCAGGCAGTGTTCCCAGGGCTGCAGGGAGGCCCACACAACCACGCCATTGCAGGTACGCAGCCAGGCTGGCTGTCAGCTCCAGCAAAGGTATCCTGGCAGGGCTCTGACCCCTACAGGAGGCTCCAGATGCCCTAMAGGGCTCACAGCCTGGGGATATTGTGGCAAAAGACAGCTGGTTCATCCAGCATTGCCCAAGGAGTGACCAAGCCTGTCTTATTCCGTGTTTTGGCTCATGGGGATGCTGCCAGCCTGGTTAGGGGAAAGAAGCAGTTCATTCGTTCCTTCAGTTCCAGGATGGCTTCTGCTGGCAGTGCCATGCATCTCCYGCTCTGCTGGTGGGAGCCCCCCCAAAACTGACCCTGGCCTGCCTCCCTCCACAGGGATCGCTGTGGCACTGCAGCAGGCCATGACACCCGAGTTCAAGGCTTACCAGCAGCAGGTGGTGGCCAACTGCAAGGCGCTGTCGACAGCACTGATGGAGATGGGCTATGACATTGTCACAGGTGAGGACAGGTCTTGGCGGTGGGATGAGGATGACCCTGGGGTCTGACCAGGGCAACACTTCACCAACACCATGAAATTCCTCGGTCCTGGTTGAATCTCAAGTCTTTTGCTGAAATTTCCTGTGGGAGCAGCATTTCCCCAATCCCACATCTCCACCAAACCCCTCTCTTTGCAGGGGGCTCTGACAACCACCTGATCCTCGTGGACCTGCGCAGCAAAGGCACRGATGGCAGCCGGGCCGAGCGGGTGCTGGAGCTCTGCTCCATCGCCTGCAACAAGAACACGTGCCCTGGTGAGAGATCCCACGAGCTCTGCTGCTCCCAGCTCCTGGTCCACGCTGGGAGCCAGGCTGGAATCCCACACCTGGTGGTTTTGGTGCCATGTTTGGTCACGTGTGCCTTGTTGTGGTGCAGGTGATGTCAGYGCCCTGCGCCCCAGCGGCCTCCGGTTCGGGACACCGGCTCTCACCTCCCGTGGCTTCCGGCAGGACGATTTCCGAAAGGTGGCCCAGTACATCCACAGAGGTGAACCATCCTACCTGCGTATCTGGATGTGAGAGAGGACATCTGGCCATGGCTGGGACCAGTCGAATTCTCCCCACTGCACAGGCTGTGGGCTGAAAGCCTGTCCCTTGCACTTTTCTCCCAGTTGTCCTCAGGGGTTCCACACTGGTTTCCCAGGGCAGCAAGTCCCACAGGTGGGAGGGAGGGAGGGAGGGAGAGAGGGAACAGGGCTGGGAGAGCTGTGGGATGCAGCAGCTCCAAGGCTGACCAAAGTATCTCCCATCCTGGCAGGGATCGAGCTGACACTACGTGTGCAGAAGGACATGAGCCCCAAGGCCACGCTGAAGGAATTCAAGGACAAACTGGAGGAGCCAAAATACCGTGGGGAGCTGAAGGCACTGAAGGAYGAGGTAGAAGCCTTCGCAGCCACCTTCCCGCTCCCAGGGCTGCCTGTCCTGTAAGGGAACACACCCATCCCTGCTCCCGGAGCCACTGGAGTACCCAGGATCGTGGCATGCTCACATCCCCAGCCTGAGACCAACACCCCAATGCCTTCTCCCAGCACTTCCCTGCTGGAAGTGCAGCAGCAGCTCCTCCTTTGGCTCTCAGCCCCCTCTTCCCTCCCATGTGGGGCACAGGGTCCCCCTGAGCACAATCCCTGTGGGGATACCAGCCCTTCACCACTGTGTCACCACTGGGATCAAGCACTGGGCCACCCTCACCTCATGGCCAGGTGCCATCCAGCTCCTGCTGGCTGTGGAGCAGCAGAGATTTAAGCTGRTCTGCCCACATTCCCTGGACACTGCCCCATGACAATGGGAGGGACAAGGAGTCTAGCTGCACAAGAGACTTCACAGCCACCAGAAGCCCCCTGGTTTCAGCCTCAAGGATTCTCCCTCATYCTGTGTGCCTTGCCACCTCCACAAGGCCAAAGCCTTGTTCCGAACCTCCCTCCTGAGATCACTGTYCCATCCTAAGCAGAGCCTCCAGTATTTTCTCAGACCCCCTTGGCACAAAGCTTAGGTTGAACCATTTTTTAATAAGCACAGTAAAATTAAGAATTTAACCACAATGTATGACAAGAATTATAAGCTTTAAAAAATACGACCAATTTTTTTTTTTGTATTTCAAAAATATCTGAACCCAAATAAATATTTTTTTTTAAAAGTACATTTCTCAGACTAGTCATTTGGTGTTAACATCTGTTAAACTCTTGTGCAGTAACACTTAGAGCACAACACTAAGACATGCTTCTTGGATTTCTCCCGGTCACACTCGCCCTAACTACTGACGCAAGCATTCGGCACGCACAGGCACACACACGGAACTCAACATGCAGGAATAGGATACAGTGCTTTTRAAATAAGATGAGAATTCATCACAGCCTCCTGGCAGCCCTCAGAGGCAGCTCTGAGCCCAGCCCCATTCCCGTGCCAGCAGCCGTGCTGCCAGCAGGACCGAGTACCCTGCTTCTGCCTTCCAGTTAAATCCATCTCGGGGAGCAGTGCGTGGGGGGTTTGTGGCCCCTCCAACATCGGGGTGCAGTTTGGTGCTCTGACATTGTGCTCTGGGGCAGGGGTTCTCCTGCAGCCTGGGTAGCTCCCTGAATTCCCTCACATCCTGTTACACAAGCCTTCTCTCTGTGCTGCTACAAGGCCCGGGTCCTGCCCAGCTGCCTGGACCTGCAGCGTGGGCTGTCACCCACCCCCAGACCAGGGGCCCAGGACCCTCATGCTCAATAAAACCCAAAGAT